TAGGGTAGGATGGACTGGCAAGATAGCTCAGAGGACTAAAGCTCTCCTTGGTACCACATGCGGCGCCAGCCCCGCCCCCAGGGCACGCTGAGCCAGCCACAGAGTCCATCGTAGTGGTGCACACCTGTAATCCCAGCTCAGGGGACACTGAAAACAGGAGGATCGCTACGAGTCTGAGCTGTGTAGTGAGACCTTGTACCAAATACATGTAAAAAGAAAAGAAAAGAAAAAAGTTAGAAAATCAGTAAACTAGAAACTGTTGTCCAAAAGTAAAATAAAATAACTTAAGGATGAACTAGATAGGATACTGGAGAGATACACACACAGGACTCTTAAAATTTGTCAGATAAAACAGAAGAATTAAGAAAATGAACCAAAGTAGTTATTCTGTTCAGGTTTGAAAACTCAAGATGTCAAAGTTAGGTCTTTTAAATTTACTGTTTTGAGACTACAGGTCATTTTTTTAAGTTAAAGTTTATTTGCATGGACTGATTTTGTTTATGGGTGTTTGAAGTCCGTATGTGTGTGGATTCCTCTCATGGTACTTACACCAAGGCTGGGTCCGGTTCTTGGATGGACCCTCTTCTTCCTGTTTATGTGGTTGGGCGTGGTGCAGCCACAGAAGGGACAGAGACTTTGGACTGATAGTAACTGGAATCAAGCCCAGTCCTACCATGTAATGTGGAGCCTAGGCAACTCAGCTGCCTGGTTTTTTCATTGATAAGATAGTAATTGTTACTAAACTGAATTTAGTAGTGTTGTTATTTTAGTAGTTACCATGTAAGTACTGAATTTCCTACAGTAGGGGGTTACAAATACTAAATTTTGAGAAATGGAAAATACTATGGGTGTTTAATTACTTAGCTTGCTGGTTTCCCAGAAGGCACTTGCGTTTTTAAGTAGAGATGAGAAGACCTTTGCTCCAGCTTTGCCTCAGCCTGCCGGCCAGCCACTCCCTGTTCCACCAGGCAGTCACACATGAGCTTTAGTTAACTGCTTGAAACTTCGCTTAGAAAAGCAAGGCAACGTGAGGGTCAGAAAGCTGGCTTGTATGTTGAGGGCCCTTCTAGCTTTCTACCTATTTTATCTTGGCCAAGTGATCACTACATTTTAGCATTTGATGAGTTCAGTTTGGAAATAGTTCTCTGTGGTGGTAAAACTGAGGTGAACCACACTACATCCTTAGATCATGTACTATCAAGAAGAGTTAGGAAAGATAATTCCCGCCAGTAGTATCAATATTTTATTGTCTCAGGTCATAGTACCAACCACTCTTACTTCATCTCCTCCTCTTCCAAGAGCTTTCCCTTTTTCCTTATTAATTATAAATCATGGAACCTCCTGAAAGCCGCTGCTGTTATGAGAAAGAACTCAGAGTTGTCTTTGAACAAAGCAGAAGGAACTTTATTCTTTGGCAGTCCAGTTATGGTTGATGCCAATGCGTGGATTTTCCTCTTCCTGTTGTTTAGCTTGACACTGTGTGTGTGTGTGTGTGTGTGTGTGTGTGTGTGTGTAAATCATAGTAGTAATAGTATGTTTTCAGTGTTGTGTGGCTCTCATCTGTCTAGTTCTACTTGTTTACGCTGCTGCCAAAGCCTTGCGCCCTTTAAGAGCATTTTTACTGCATGATCCCCTTTTCAGCCCCCACAGTGTGCGTCTGCTTTCTGTCTCTGAATGTACCTTCCCTGGGTATTTCACCTAAAAGGAATGAGTGAATGAGTTCTTTCTCTGTTAGCTGTCATGTAGCAGGTGCTTAAATTGGTACCTGCAGCATGTTCTAGCATTCCTGTTTATGGCTGGGAAGACCCCATTGTAGTTGTCATTCTGCTGGTCTGTTCATGGGTCAGTGGGCATTTTCTCCAGTGTGAGTTGTGATGCTGTGACTTATGGACAAGGACTTTTAGGCCCACTTTGAATTTTTGGCACATGTACCTAGCTGTAGGATTGCTGAACCATATGGTAATGTGTCATAAAAGGTTTTTTTGAGGATCCTCCAACTAGTAGTATTACCCAAGTCCTATATTTCTTTATTGTGGTTTTGACTGGTTTTTCTGTCCATTGTTGAAAATTTAGTATTGCAGTCTTCAGCTATTTTGCTGCACAAGTCCTCAACTTATGATGGGATCACCTTTTAATAAGCCCATTGCAAGGTGAAGATGTTGCAGCACAGGAGTGCATCCAGGCTGCCAGCCCTCGTAGTGGCACAGTAGTGCACCATGGTCTTTCTGCCCATCTGTGGCTGACTGGGAGCCGCAGCTCTGCTCCACTTCTTGTCATTGAAAGGAGAATTGTACTGCATGTCACGGGGGAGGGTTCTAAATTTGAAATAAGAGTTTCACTGCATGTGTAGCACTTCCACACCATACTGAGCTTGAGAAACTATTAGGTTGAACCATCTTAAGTTGAAGACTTGTTATAGTACGTATTTTTCTGTTAAACCGTTAGGTCTTTTTGATCCTCTCTAGTTTATGTCTTGTAACAGTTAATCAACTGAAACGTGTTTTGTCTGATGTTAGTAGACCATTTTTATGGGCTGAATTACCTCCCCTAAAGATACTGAAGTCCTAACATACTTGTGACTGTCATATTATTTGGAGGTAGGATCTTTGCAGATAAATAGGTCTTTGTTCAGTCAGTCCTAGGAAAGCAACATATACTGTGGATGAAGTTTAACAAAATGCCTGAAGTTGTGAAAAGCGCTGTGGGGTTAGGAGTGGCTTGTCGCTGGAAGTGAGCTGAGGGCCTTGGCAGGAAGAGCAGTCTGAAACACCTTGAAGAGGCGGTTGGCACAGATGTGCATGTTCAGAGGCATTCTGGGGCCGGCTTGGAAGGGAACAGTGAGCATGTTGGAAGATGGGAAAAGGACAGTCTTTCTTAAAAAGTTACGGAGGTGACCAAATTGTTTTGGCATTGGGGAGAAAGTAGAATTTGTATGAGTGAACTTGGATCTGAGATCTCCAAGCAAATTACGGAAGGTATACCCTGATCTCGTAACTTACACTAAAGTGTAGGCAGAGAGAGAAAACTGTGCAAATGAGTTAATCAGAAGAAAAGAATGAGTATATGGTAATTTGGAGAGGTTTCAATGTCTGGTATATCACAGTTTCAGTGCGATTCGGGGTGTAACTGCTGGTCCTGTCGGCCATCTGAGAACTGCAGTAGTGCAATAACCGAGAAAAGGTCTGTGAGGGCTTCTGGTTTCATGGCTTGAGCCCATGAATCCTGCAAGTCTGACAGGGATTTTGAGAATTGTGTACAGCTACACACTGACAGGGTAACCTGAAGGGACAGGACAGGATGAAAGGAAGGACTATGAGGAGGGAATCACAAATGCAGAGCCCGGGTCATTGGAGAATTCCTAGAATTGCAGGGCAAGCCATGAGCCCAGAGTACAGCTCACTGTCCCCAGAAGATTCTTAGTTCTTAAAATCTAAAGGAATGTGCTTTGCCAGTGCCCTGTATTATTAGAATGCCTATGTTTCTGCACTCTCCCTAGTACAGTGTGTTGTTTGGGTCTGGTTACTTTTGTGTATATTTGAAAGCCATGCTTTTATTGAGATGCCATGTTTTTATTGGGTATAAGCTTTGCTTCTGTTTGGTTTTGTGATGCGGAAAATTGTTTTTATGTTTTGCTTATGTCAGGTTGTCATCATGTGACTTCAGATTTTATGTTGCTTTTAGAAAGGCCTTTTCCATTCTTCAGGTATTCAGAGATTCTTCCATTATCAAAATGGACTTCTAATATATACTTGCCATTACCCAGATGGTAAATTTTCTGGACTTGAAAGCCTGTTTCTAACATTAGCTTTTTATTCTTAATGTTTAAGAGAGGATGACTGCCTTAAGTCTGAGGTAATGCAGGATGAGAGTAGCAGTCTGTATGTGGAGTGTCGCAGGACAACGGAAATAGCAGCACAGCTGGGCCAGCGACACTGAAGCTGGACTTAACCACAAGATTAACTCACAGTGTAGTTCTCCATACAGCTTACATCAGGGGAAAGCATTCTGCTAGGAAATTCCCCTTTAATAATTCTTTGCAACATAGTTGGGTTGTTAAAAGTGCATAAACTCAGATTTTTTTTTTTTCCTTCAATTCTGGTTACTTATCTGGAACCATTTTTTTAAATTTAGCTTCTCTGTACTTTAGAGCTAATTATTAGAATTTAATGAGTCAAATTACTAGGTATGTTATGTATGCTAATCTATATTTTTTGTAGATGAGGTAATATAAAATTGCTGTTGGGGAGATTTGAAGGATTATGTTTAGAGTTAACATTAAGGATAGATTTTACCTAAATATCTTACCTTGTTTGAATTATTTCAGTAAAACTGGGTTTTGTTGTTGTTTGTTTTTTCTTTTATTTTAGTAAGAATCTATACAGTCTCACTACATAGATTGGACTCTAGTAATCCACCGGTGTTCAGCCTCCCAAGAACTGGGATAACAGGCATGCACCACTACACCTAGTCTCAATCACCTTCTCAGTGTGCCTCTGGGGTGGGACCAGCAGGGCATGGCATACCAGGGATCAAACCCCAGTCCCTGTGTCTGCCTAAGCAGGCGCTTTAGTCCACTGAGCTATCTGGCCAGCCCTTGTTTTTGTTTTTTAACCTGTAGGAAACATTTGACTTCTTTATGTTTTTTTTTTTTTTTAACTTTATTTTTTTTCAAAGTTTTATTGATAAACAGATAGCAATGAGACAGTTTCAATCAAATTGGAAGTACAGTTTCAACAAATATTACACTGCATATATTCTTCTTAGTGGTTAATTGCTGTACAAGATGCGGACTTGTGATCCTATTTACAAACACCATTAGAACAAATCATTCGATTCATTAAGAGAATGCAACTATATATCTATCCCAACCACTTTGAATACACAGATACAAAATGGACATTCTGCCTTCTTTATGTTTAATGACTGCATTTGTGGCCAGCAGATGCACAGGGATGGCTGTTGGCTAACGGTAAGCTTAGAATGGTATCTGTTTCATCTAGATCCCAAGGAGGAGAAAGAGGAGGAAGACGACGCTGCCCTCCCTCAGGACGTTTCCATTGCTGCAACCAGACCTGGCCGCGGCTGGCGCAGTAGCAACAGAACGTCGGTCTCCCGTGTTCGTGACACAGAGAATACCCGCAGCTCCCGGTCCAAGACTGGTTCATTGCAGCTCATCTGCAAGTCAGAGCCACTTACAGATCAGCTTGACTATGGTACCGTGCAAGTACAATGCGGTCACTTAGTACCTGTTACAGATTTTTTTTTTTAAATGTTGCACTTTGCCTGAGTAGTTTAAGTTTCAGGAACAGGTATGGCAACACAGGGAGGGCTTCTTTTGGACAGCTTTCAGGGAGTCTTTTAGATAATGCATTTAACTCTTGGCTACATAGAGAAAAGGTCTTACTTGTGCATAAAGTTTTGATTTTGACTTTGTTTTTCTAGAAGTTGCAGAAGAACATCAGTCTCCCGGTGGCATTAGGTAAAGCTTTTGCATTTCATATCTCAACGTTTGGGTCCATAGCATAGGCACATGGAGTGATGTGGAAGTTGCTTTATACTTTAAAAGATTTTGAATTGTAAGAGGACTGACATTTGTATTCCACATGGATCTTGGTTAGAGCGCTTTATACCATGCAGCCTTTGGTTACGTGACTCAGAGAACATGTGTTGGGTCCCTTATGTGGTCGGGCTTATTCCTTTGGATGCGGAGGTGAACTGGGTATTTTGGCCAGGCAGGTTGTGCTTTTGTCTTCCGATAGACCTTTTGTGATACAGCTGAGTTTCCAGACATAGAGTGCTGTTGTGGAGTCAGCTGTTCTGATTCTTGGTGCCATTGGCCAGTCCTTCCCTGTCTTCATTCAGTAGAGTGATAGTGTTTCTATTATTTTTGTGGTTTGGGTCATTATTAGGATAAAGCAGCTAGATTGCAGTCCATCTAGGTTATAGGAAGGAAAATTTAAAGTTGTGTGAATTTTTGGCCACCTCTAAATAAATTGCCCAGTGTAACCCAGTCAGACATGATCCTTACAACTAGAATTTATTTCTGTTCTTCAGTAGTGATGAAGAGGAAGAAGAGGAAGAAGAGATGTTAATCAGTGAAGAGGAAATACCATTCAAGGATGACCCCAGAGACGAGACCTACAAACCCCACCTAGAAAGGCATGTCTTGGGGCTCCCTCGGCCACGTGGGATGAGAAGTGGGGCAGCGCCTTCGCCTGGCCTCACTGTGTCCTGTTGCCACCCTAGAAAGTTAGGTCATTTTCAACGAGTCGTGGTACGCTTGTTTTTGCAGTCTGATGAGATCTTCCATTTGTAGGACTTTAATTTGATCATATCGCAGTTACTAGACTTGTGTGTATTTTAGCTTAACAGTGTCGTGATCTTCCAGGGAACTTAGAAATTTTACTTACTGACTTCTCAGCTATAGTGAAATTTGACTTTTAAGAATCTGAAGCCTAGAAATCCATCCCATAGGTATCGGATATGTTTGGCATCACTATGCACATGAGAATCACTTGGTAGGAAATCAGTCCGTGAGCAAAGAATGGCAGTTTTCTAGTAAATCAGTGGTAATCTCTTTAACTTGCTGTCAGTCTCCTTGGGAGGGTCCTTGGGAAAATCCCAATGTTGAACTGCATTTGTGTTTGCAGGGAAACTCCAAAGCCACGGAGAAAATTGGGGAAGGTGAAGGAAGAGAAAGAAAAGAAGGAAATTAAAGTGGAAGTGGAAGTAGAGGTGAAAGAAGAAGAGAATGAAATTAGAGAAGACGAGGACCCTCCTAGGAAGTGAGTAGCCAGTTTCTATGAAAAATAGAAATGAACAGTTTGAAGCCACTAGCGGAAGAGCGTGAGGAAGGGTGTCAGCGCGCTCCAGAAGAGCGTGAGGAAGGGTGTCAGCGCACTCCAGAACACGGTTTGCTCCTGTTGTGCCGAAGCAGCTGGCAGTTGCCCGAGAGATCCCTCAGAAGCTGGAGAAGCTTTGGTTTTCCTTCAGAGCAGTATTGAAGTTCAGATGATTTTCAGGGGAGAGACTGGCTATAGGGGTTCAGAGAAAATAGAGACAAAAGGATAGGAAAATTCAGATCCTCCAGGCTTGTATAAGACATGATGTAATAACATCGATTAGGTAAAAATTTTGTTTTTAAATTTATTGCAAGAGGAGTAGAATTTATATCTTTAGAGTTCTTAGCTAGTAATCTGTTGATCTACATTTTAAATTGATTAGTTTTTGGTGATAAGCTTCTCATGGTGACAACTCAGTAGCATTGAGATTTATCCAGATCTTCAGTGGCAGTGCCCAGTTTACAGAACTCATGTTTAATCTGGGGTGCAGACTGGTTTGACAGTTTGCTAGATACATCTTGAATTTTGTGTAGTTACCTAAATTGTCCTTCTTCGTGTCTGCTGTCTGCTCTGTGCTTGTGGCCGTGAGTGTATGCTTTCCAGCCATCCTTTGCCTCTGAACTTCAGTCTGAAACACACAGTCATCACTCTTTCTTTAATCGTAGGAGAGGACGAAGGCGGAAAGATGACAAGAGTCCTCGTTTGCCCAAAAGAAGGTGAGGAGGTCCTTGTCCTCGCACCAAGGCACCTTACTCTCTTAGCTTTATTAGTGTCCACAGTAGGTAGGGATTATGTTTTTGCAAAATAGTTTCTAAAAATCTTAGCACTTTGTACTTTCATGCAGATTCTTGTGTTCATGTTTTTAAAAGCTCAAGCATCTGGAAATTTGTGGTTACTTCTAACTAATTCTGTGCAAGTAAAGAAAGGTTGATTCCTTTTAATATCAAGTAGCTATGCTATATAGTACAGAATTTTCTCCTGTATTTTCCAAACAGGAAGAAACCCCCAATCCAGTATGTCCGCTGTGAGATGGAAGGCTGTGGCACTGTCCTCGCTCACCCTCGCTATTTGCAGGTTGGTGTCGTCACTGGTTAGGTTTCATCGCTTGACCTCACCTCATGCACCATCATGGGCTTACATAGATTTTGTCATTGACACAGAGTCAAGACAAATCCTTCTAACCCTACTTGTGTCATCCTGTCTTAGCCCACTTGTTCTGCTGTAGCAGAGTACTGCCACCCTGAGGCTGGGTAATTGATAAAGAACACAAATGTCTTAGCTGACCCAGTTCTGCAAGACGAGACGCCCACAAGCACAGTGCTATCTGGTGCGGTCCTTCATAGCGCATCATCTCCTAGCAGAGCCTGGCAGGGCAGGGGGCAGAATGCACTTTGGTAACAGTTCTTATCTCACACTAATAATTGCAGCCCATGCAAGAGGCAGCGCCTGCGACCCCTCCAAGCAGTTCCCCTCCCACTGTGGCAGCACAGAGGTTAATGTTCCAGTGCATGAGCCTTGGGGCCTGCAGCACATTTTGTTTAAAACTCAGGGGACTAAGAACTAGAGCTAAGAGCTTGGCTTTCCTTGGGATCTGGTTTTCCAAAGTGTCATAAATAAAGTGAAGTTAGCAGCTCAAACTAGTGAGAGTTTTAGTTTGGTTTTTGTTCTCATAAGAATTTTTTTTTTCTTAATGAACAGAGGCTCAGCTTATATTTACACTTGACAGAAAACATGCACATGAGGCACTGCCAAGGGAAGGCCAGCTTGCTCAGCAGCAGCAGGCGTAACTTGAGGCTAAGGCCTTCCTTTCCATGGTGGGTCTGATGACAGCTACTGCTGTGCCTCCACTGTGTATCATTGGCTACACCAGCTGCTAAAGTGCGTGACCTTGTTGTCTTCTCAGCTGCCTCCCCATCTGCTGACAAGGTATTTGGTGTTCCAGTGACACATAGAACTTACCAAAGCACTTAATTTTATCCCTTTCATTTTTCATCACTGTTGTAGCACCACATTAAATACCAGCATTTGCTGAAGAAGAAATATGTTTGTCCACATCCTTCCTGTGGGCGACTCTTCCGGCTCCAGAAGCAGCTTCTGCGGCATGCCAAACACCATACAGGTACTGATTAAAATAAGGTGTTTATCAAGTAGCCAGATGACCTCTGTGCACAGTGGTACTGATAGAAGTTTACCTAATATAAGTCATCTGAAGAGTCCTCAGTCAGGTATGGAAGAAAGATGTGAAAACACAATTTAATAAGTTACATAAGGGACGGTCAAGCTGGGCCTTTTGAACTTAGGCTTTGAGAACTTCTGTAACCAGAATAATGATCTTTTATTGAACATAAATTCTGTATTAGCTGTGAATTGACCACTTTATTATTGCTGGTCTGTGCACTCAGCACCACTAATTTAGTTACCTATTTTATACCTTAGAAGCCAGAGATTTAGCAGCGTTATCACCTTTAGTAGGTCACCTTGCTAGTAGTTAGCACAATCAGGATTTTACAGTTATGCTTCAAGTAGATGCCTGTAGCAGCTGTTGTGGGCGAAAGTGGGGAACGGTGGAGAGAAAACGTAAGGAGAAGCTTGCTTGTAATTTGTGGGCAGCCATTAAATAGCTCCAGGGGCTTGTGCTTCAGAGCCATGCCATCGATGCCACTGCTGACCTTGCGTGCCGGCTCCTGTGTGGACGGCTGACTGAAGAGTGAGGCCAGCAGACTTAGGTTCCGCTCTTTGATACACTCACAATCTTGCTGTTTGTTTTTTTTTTTTTTTTTTT